TTAAATGAAACTTAACTTGACCCTGAAACTAATTTGCATGTCTCTTTCCCTTAGTGAACAGAATACTCTGACCTTGGGTCATCAGTATGAACAAGAGTTATTGTATCAGCTTATAATATGCATCATGGCCTTAGGAGGTATGCAGGAACTGTTAAACACACATTAACCCAGGATGCTTCAGAGTTAGTCATTCAGTTTGCTATGCAACAGCCATTGTCCTTTCAAGTTCTGGCAGCCACTACCTCTGTTGCTTCTAATATTTTCCTAGGACTCTTCTTAGAAGTTCTGAGCATTGCTGGGAGAAGCAATTTACCATGGTTAGTCTTATTTACTAGTTTAATTTAATAAATTCTCTCCTGAAGGTGCATCTGTACTTTCCCTTGAGAGCAAATTATTGTTGTTTAGTGATAGCTTTCCTGCCCTTCCTACTTGGAGACTTGTATCTTAACTTCTAGGGCAGTAGTTTTATTCTGGTTGCTTAAGCTGCTGGAAGTGTACTCCATGGGAAAAATTACTGTACTATATGTGACATAACATTTGAATACCTGAAATCCTCTTAATGTGTAGGTGATCCTTAGAAGATTTGCCAGCTGTTTTTGGAAGAGTTTATTCATCTTTTAGTAAGGACTTCCTGGCTCTAGGTGTGTACAGCATAAAGTGATGTACTATGCCCAGCATAACAGGACAAGTGAGACCAAAAACTTAATTTTGAAGTCTTATGCTGGAAAAATTACCTGGCAACTACAAAATCTGCCTTTCTCAAAATACTGTATTCTTCTGGGAAACAGGAAACATGTGATCAAGTATATGGAATAGTTGAGGATTATATCTCTGACTAGAAATAAAAGCACTCCAGATGCAGTGACACCTTATAATAGTGAATCTTTATTTACTGGGTTTGGGTTTTCATGTATTACTCTGGAAAGTCTGTGTATCATCCACACTCCAGATGTCATTGTTAAGCATTCATTTTTAAAGCTAGAGTTATGTCTTTTTGCAGTTGATGCTTTAAAATTGAGCTCAGTTTCCTGGTGAAAGACAGATCATTTTGGGGAAAAGGCATAGTCCAATTAAATATTATTACAAGTAAATAAAAATATTAAAGAAAACATAATTATCAATATTGTGGCAAAACATAATTATCAATAATATTGTGGCTTCATAAAGCTATTATTTTAAAATCTTACCACATTTTCTTCAAGATCTTGTCATGAATACCTGATTATTATTTTTTCGTATGTAACTATTAAAAATTTTTTCTTTTTACTGTTTTATTATTATTTTATTTTATTTTTTGTTTTTTGAGGTGGAATCTCACTGCAATGCCCAGGCTGGAATGCAATGGTGTGATCTCAGCTCACTGCAACCTCTGCCTCCTGAGTTCAAGCTATTCTCCTGCCTCAACCTCCCAAGTAGCTGGGACTACAGGCATATGCCACCATGCCCAACTAATTTTTATATTTTTAGTAGAGATGGGGTTTCACCATATTGGCCAGGCTGGTCTCAAACTTCTGACCTCAAGTGATCCACCCGCCTGGGCCTCCCGAAGTGCTGGGATTACAGGCATGAGTCACTGTGCCCAGCTTATTGTTTTATAATAGTTTTATTTTTAAAAATAGTTTTAGACTTACAGAAAACCTACAAAGACAGTATGGCAGTTTCCCATACATACCACACTGTGTTTCTCCTATTATTAACATAGTAATGGTGGATTGAATAGTTGTCTCCAAAAGATATGTCCAAGTCCTAACCCATGGCACCTGTGAGTGTGACCTTATTTAGAAATAGAATCTTTGTAGATGTAGTTAAGGATCTTGAGATGAGATCATCCATAGGGTGGGCCTTGAATCCCGTAACCTTATAAAAGGCGAATGCCATGTGAACACACACAGAGACACTCAGAGAAGAAGGCCATGTGCTGGTGGAGACAGAAATTGGAGTGATGCTGCTGCAGGCAAAAGAATGCCAAGGATTGCCAGCAACCCCTGAAGCTGGGAAGAGCAAGGAGGAATTCCTCCCCAAAGTCTTCAGAGGGAGCATGGCCCTCCCTTCACCTTGAATCCTGAACTGTGAGAGAATGTTTGTTGTTTTAAGCCAAGCAGTGGTAATTTGTTATGGCTGCCCTCGGGAATTTATATGACATATTACAGTAGTATGGTGCATTTGTTAAAATTAATGAACCAATGTTGATACATTATTGTTAACTAAGATCCACATTTCATTCAGATTTCCTTAGTTTTTATGTAATGTCCTCTTTCTGTTTCAGGATCTCATCCAGGATACCATATTTACATTTAGTTATCAAGTCCGTCTTAGGCTCCTCTTGGCTGTGATACTTTCTCAGACTTTCCTTGTTTTTGATGGCTTTGACAATTTTGAGGAGTTCTGGTCAGGTATTTTGTAGAATGTCTCCCATTTGGGATTTGCTTGATCTCCTCCCCTCCCTTCCTTTCCTTAGAGACAGGGTCTTGCTCTGTTGCCCAGGTTGGAGTGCAGTGACATGATCGTGGCTGACTACAGCCTTGACCTGCAGGGCTCAAGTGATCCTCCCACTTCAGCCTCCTGAGTAGCTAGGACTACAGGCACATGCCACTATACCTGGCTAATTTTTAAGATTTTTTGTAGGGTCTTACTTGCTTAAGCCAGTCTTGAACTTCTGTCCTCAAGTGGTCCTCCAGCCTTGGCCTCCCAAAGTTCTGGGACAGGTGTGAGCCACCACACCCAGCCATGATGTTTCTCTGATTTGATGGGATTATGTGATTTTCTGAGGAAGACCACTGAGGTAAAAAGTGCCGTTTTCATCAGGTATCAGGGGTATGTACTATGGACATGATTTATCAATGTTGATGTTAACCTCCATCACCTGGCTAGGTAGTGTTTACCAGGTTTCTTCATTTAAAGTCTCTCTTTGTTTCCCTTCCCATATTATTCTCTTCAGAAGAAAGTCACCATGCACAGCCACACCTAAGAAGTGGGGAGTTATGCTCCATCTCCTTGAGGGTAGAGTGTCTACAAAAATTTATTAGAATTCTTCTGTATAGGAAGTGTGTCTATTCTTCTCATTTATTTATTTACTCAGTCATTTATTTATGTCAGTATAATTTGAGAATATTTACATTATACTTTGAGTTGTAATCCAATATTACATTATTATTATTAGTTTTGATAAAATTTTTTGATCTTTGGCCATTGGGAACTCCTTCAGTTGGCTCCTATGTCTCTTTTGACACCCTATCATTGTGGGATTTTTTAAATAACACTTTCTTAATTTTTGGCAGTATTAGATATTCTAGGTTCATCTTGTATATTTCCTGCCCTAGTCCTAGAATCAGCCATTTCAACAAGGAGTCCTAGGTCTCTTTATTGGGGAATATAATTAAAAACTAAGATCCAGGCAGTAGGTGTACTTGTTTCTACTGGGCATTGTTGCTTCCAGGTCTTGTCAGCTGTCAAAGCAAGGAAATATATGTGTGTACACAAACTTGTATAAATAAATACATGTATGTATACATATTTCTATATGTAAATATCTGTATCTATAGTAAGCTAAATATGAGTTCTTACTGATGCATCCAACTCTAATCCATTACCTCATGGGTCGTTCTAGTTTCCTTCCTTTTTTTCTACTCCACTTGTACTCCAGCAGTGACAAACCAGTCTTTCGTAATTCTCCCTCAATTTATTAAATTTTTCAATTCCAGTACACATGCATAGAAGTATCAGAATTGTTAATTCATAATCATGTGGAATACAACTTTATTACCTAATGTGTAACACTATGTGCACAGTTCTTTTGCCTTAAGTTTTATGTCCTCATTTCCAACGTAACTGAGGTCAACAACTTTTCCCCCCACCCCTTTGGGTGAGATTGTTTCATATGTTTGTAATATAGTTAGACTGTTTTATTACATTCTGCATTCCATCCTGGGATTCCTCCTGACCTCCTAAATGATTTTTAAAAATTCATAGTAAAGAAGAGATCAGGCATATTTAGGGTGGTATGGCCGTAGGCATCAATTTGCATTGCATTAAAATTCAACTCTTATGCTTCAAAGTTCAGTGGGTTTTTAAAAATGTATAATGTCATGTAGCCACAATTCTACAGAATACTTTCACGTCGCTAAAAATATCCCCTAGGCCTGATTAATTTTTATTTGGAAAAGAAATACAGAAACCAAACTAGCAAACACCTGAGAATATGTTAGTAAGATTTTGGAAATGTTAACATTTTGTCATACTTGTTTCATTTTTTTTAAAATAAAATTTTAAAAATTATTAAATTAAGGCCTTTTGTACTTCTTAATTCCATTTCTCTTCCTCCCTACCCAGCAGTTACTGGTATAATTATAGTAGTTTTTCCATTCCATGAGTTTATACTTTACTAGATGTATTCGTGAGCCTAACCAATAAATAATACTTTTTTTGTGTGTTTTCTGGATACATTTATATAAATGACATGGTTTTATATGATTCTTTCTAAAACTTGCTTATTTTCTTCTCAATACCATGCTTCTAAGATCCACCTCTAGATCATAATTTTTGTGTTTTAATGTGTTTTATGGTGTTTATGAGTATACCACATTTTATTTATGTTACTCTATTAATGGCTATTTAGATTGGGTTTAATATTTTTATTTCACATGCTCTGTGAATATCCCATACACATTTTCCCATGCATGTGTGAAAGAATTTGCCTAGACTATATAGCTGGAAGTTAAATTCCAGGAAGATGTGGCATGTACACTTTCTACTCTACTAGATATGGCCAATTGGCCTCCAGTGTGTTCTACAAATTTCCCCAAGTCCTTAGGGTCAGTTGGTAATGCAGACTTTTACATTGTTGCTAACCTGATGGCTTTAAAAAAATTCTTTACCAGATTTTCAGAAGCTATGGAACCAAAAATTCTCAGCAACTAAAAATAATTTTGACAGGAGATTGAGTGTTTACTCTTGGGGCCATTTCGTACCATTTCTAATAACCTTTTATGTTGTTTTCAAAGATGTGTGCTTATCCAGAATTCACGAAGTTGTTTTGGAATACAGCTGCACCTAAATTCTCTGTTCCAGAATCTGTCATGAAGGAAACTCTATATCCAAAATATGAGGTAACATACCAAATGGGTTTTCTCTTTTATTGTTGTTGTTATTATTTAATAATTAAATTGTATAATTGGCTGTGACATTAAATTTTACTGGACATTTATATAAATTACCAGTTATTGCCATAATTAGGATTAATTGGATATCACTATAGAAATTATTTATATATGTAAATAATTATATGTATGTATAGAATTATATACCTACATACTTATGAATTTATAATTTTATTATATGTATATGTTCTATACATATAATATATAATACATATAATAATACATATACATAAAATATGTTCTATACATATACACACACATATATAATTTTTTTTGAGATGGAATTTTGTTCTTGTTGCCCAGGCTGGAGGGCAATGGTGCAATCTTGTCTAACCGCAACCTCTGCCCCACCGGGTTCAAGCAATTCTCCTGCCTCCGCCTCCTGAGTAGCTAGGATTACAGGCTTGCGGCACCACACCTGGCTAAATTTGTATTTTTAGTGGAGACGGGGGTTTCTCCATGTTGGTGAGGCTGATCTCGAACTCCTGACCTCAGGTGATCCACCCACCTTGGCCTCCCAAAGTGCTGGGATTACAGGGATGAGCCACCATGCCCATCCATAATTTTATATATTTAATGTATATTTAAAAAATGTTATACTTATCCATGTGACTTTAGCTAGTTAAGAAGAATATTCTGTTTTCTTTTTGAAAGAATGTTTTATTTGATTGAGAGTTCAAGATATAAAGCTACTTGAGTTGTTTAGAGATCTTCATGGTATTTTCATTTGTTTTTAAAATCACATTTTAAATTAAATTAATATTAAAAACATTTAATAATACCCAAATGTGGTAATCTTTTTCCTTCCCTTAAAGAAGAATGATTACTCTCATTTTATGTTATACTGATCATTTTAAAAATTAGAAAAATAAGGAGAAATAAAACCAAATAACCTATTATTCTTCTCCCACAGAGAATTGCTGCCCACTTTTTGGTTCATTTTCTTTGGTTTGTAAAAATTCTTCTCCTTTTTCCTCCTCCTGTTTTCTGCTTTTTCCTTTTTTTTTTCTTTTACAGTATTTCAGTGATGAGCATCATTGTACATAAATTTTTAGTGGCATTCAGGATTGTTTTATTTGCACAACGCTGTAGGCAGCTTATGAAAACACATATATCAGAAAAGGATAAAACAAAAAAGTTAAAGAAATTGTGGGGAAAACATAACATGAGTAATAGCATAATAAAGCCAGAGGTAAGGTTAATATGAAGACATTCAGTTCATGTATGCTGTTGCTTGAAATGGGGTCATCAATTTATCTCCTAGCTTCCCTGCAACCAAGGCATGGTTGGAGTCTTGTTCATATTTAACCTGTCGATACTACACGTTTAGAATGTTAATATTGAAATATCTTTGCATTTCTTGGATTCCTTGTTCATAGTGTATTATTGTTAAATATTATGTTGAATTCTGTTAGGCCATATTTTATTTTTAATTTTAAATATATACTCATGGGTGAAATATCTGTGTAGTGTATTTTTTTTTCCTTTGTTGGACTTTGCTATCAGAGCTATTCTTGCTTTATAAGGTTAACTGGATAGCATTTCATCATTTTTAATATTCTGAAATTGATATGGCATAGGAATAATCTTGAAAAGTTGGAAGAATTCACTGTTCAGACTCATCTGAGCCATTTGGTAAGGTAATTGATAATTAAAAATTTTTCTTTTCTAATTCTTAGCTTATTCATATTCACTATTTTTCTTGTCAATTGGCAACATATTCCTACAGAAAGCTATGTATTTAGTTGAAATTTATAAGTTATATGCATAGAGTTGCATATATTTTGTCAGTTTTAATATTCATTTCTAATATTGCATTATTTTCTTTTTCCTTTCTGATGGTGTTTCTGATTTTTTTTCTTAGAATAGAATTTTTAGAAAGTAGTTTTTTTCTTGTTTCATTTGTTTTTAAATTAAGTGCTTTCTCTATATGTGTCAGACTACTATACTCATACCAGTATGACACCATCCCTTTTATTTTATTTTTTTAGAAAGATATGTAATACATAGTTCCCCGGCTGTTACATATCATGGCCAGTCAACCAGGAAAACACATGAGTTTAACCCACCGTCTTTGACCAAAACCCTTTTGGATTAAATATTAATTCAGTGTTGTTACTTCTCCTTTCAAACATATTTTTGGTTATTGGCTTTCTGCTTTCCATAGAATGTTGACATTCTATGTTGGCATTTTTCAAATTTTTTTTTTTTTTTTTTTTTTTTTTTGAGACAGAGTCTTACTCTATCGCCAGGCTGGAGTGCAGTGGTGCAATCTTGGCTCACTGCAACCTCTGCCTCTTAGGTTCAAGCAATTCCCCTGCCTCAGCCTCCTGAGTAGCTGGGACTACAGGCGCGCACCACCACGCCTGGCTAATTTTTTGTATTTTTAGTAGAGATGGGGTTTCACCATTTTAACCAGGATGGTCTCCACCTCCTGACCTTGTGATCTGCCCACCTTGGCCTCCCAAAGTGCTGGGATTATAGGTGTGAGCCACCACACCCAGACTCTAATTTCTTTTGCTGAAAACTTAATTAATTTCTTCATGTTTCTTCTTTTTTTTAAATAAGTAATTTATGAGTTTTCTTCTGTGTACTTGACCTTATTTCAAACCTTTTCATTTGCAGTGTCTTTATTTATTTTCAAAGTAATTTCTATTGCAATTTTCCTTTTCTTTTTGATACACCATAGTGTTTAAACATTTTTTAAAAGCTTATTGGAATTATTTAAAATTTTATTTTAAAACCTTATTAGTGTAAGAAATATATTCTTCAAAATACCAGTTTCTTGGAATTTATGGATATTTGCTTTTTTGTACTAGATATCCCAATATCTCTCAGTTAATTCAGTGGTATTATTTGTTATCATTTTTATATTGTGGCCAGACTAAGCAGAGCATACCTTTGGGATCAGATAGTCTCGAATCTGATATCCACTTACTTCCTGGGTAACCTTGTACTATTATTTTAACCTCATGAAGCCTCTTTTTTTTGTTTGCACAGTGTGTTTTTTGAGGATTTAATGAGAGACTATATGGTGCATTGCTCGATAAGTAGTAGGTGCTCAAATAATAATAGACTTAGCTATTATAATATTATTACATTTTATGTGGTATATTTATTTCATTTGATCTTATAAAGACTTTAATTAAATACGGATTTTCAATGAAGTTATGTTTTGTCAATTTTTCCATATGTTAGCCGGGCGTGGTGGCTCATGCCTGTAATCTCAGCACTTTGGGAGGCTGAGGTGGGTGGATCACTTGAGGCCAGGAGTTGGAGACCAACCTGGCCAACATGATGAAACCCTATCACTACCAAAAATACAAAAAAAAAAAAAAAAAAAAAAATTTCCACGTGTTACTAACAGTTTTACTTTCTGTGATTAGAAGATGTTTTGTCTTTATTATGAATTTTGTCTCTTATTGATTTGAAATGATCCAGTTTGGCCTATTCAGTGTTTGAATTCTACTCTAGTATATCTAGCCCTGTGTTCTTTTCTCTGTGTTCAGAAATATTTTTATGTTAATACTTTTTGTTGTTTTTGTTTTGTTTTGTTTAGTTGTGCCATATAAGTAACATATGGTGTTTTGGTCCTACTATTATTATTTCATTTTGTGATTTCTGTTTTTTTTAAATTTCTGTTCTCTTTTGTTAACTCCCTACTGTCTGTGCTGTTTTCAGAGTGGCAAAGGCTATTACAATTGCTTCAGAAATCACACTAGTAGTATATGAATGCTTTCTTGTAGTAAAAATTCAAACAATAAAGATGAATATGACATAAAGAGCATTCCCCCTCCTTAATGCTGTCCTTCTCCAGTTCTCTTCTCCCTGAAGTTGACCGTTGTTAAATGCATTTTGTGTATCCATTCAGACATTTTCATTGTCATTTATGTCATGCAGGTGTGTGCAAATGAATACTTTTACATATATGCATTTGTAATTTATATTATTCTACATCTTAATTTTTTTCACTTAAAATACTTGAATATATATCTTTGCACACACATGTGTATTTCTCTGTTTGGAATTCCTAGTCAAAGTGTATGTATATTTCAAATCTTAGAAGACTATATATATTTGCATTTTTTTAATAATGCAGTCTAACCTTTTCATTTACTTGAGAAAATACATATTGTTTTTGAAAAATATGTCATGAGCTAGAAGGAGAAAGTTAATAATATAAAGTATATGAAAAGATTACCTTAATGCAAAAGATTGGTGAATATTAATTTCCATAAGTCAATGTGGCATCCATGAAAATATGATGCTCACAATCTGCTTCAAGAAAATCTGCTGAGGGGGCATACTTGACTGGTGGCCTCCAGCTGCTGTCCTGTAGACCTAACATGGCATTTGCTCCAAGGCCATGCTTCCTTGGGGCTGCTCCCAGCCAGGGACTGAGCACAAGGTGGTTGCTAGAGCAGATGCATTCCTGCTTGATTGTGATTGCTTTCATGGGCAATTTTGGCTCAGGGACTTTTCATCTGCCTGATTGAATCTTTCTTAGAACTGTTCTGTGGTCTGAAGCTCTTCCTACCTAATCCTTCCTTTCTCATCCCCTTTCACAGATGTCAAATCTGCATAGTGTTCTGAAGGCTCCCCCTGCCTATTCCTGTACCTTCCTTTTATCCTATAATGTTGATGTCTACTTCTACTTGAGCTGACAGAGTAGGGATTCTGTAATATGAGTGCAATGTTTTTTAAACTATATGTTTGTTTACAAAGTATGGGCATATATTTTTCTATGTATGTTTACAGGAAAGTGTGAATGTAGGGAATTGAGGGTAGGCAAAATTGTTTTAAAAGAAGTGAAATTGTAGCAGGAATAGGAAGAGTTAGTGAGAACTGGTGACCATGGAGTAACCCACTAGAAAAGTAGTATTGATACTACTACAACACCGAAAGAAAATCAGTATTGGTGGTTGTCCGCTCCCGGAGACCAGGAGAAA